TTTTTTTTCGGTTTAGGTCGTGCGTTTTCGAGAAATAGTGTCGGAAGTGTCAGTGGCTCTCAGATCGTGCTGCGCAATTTACTTTTTTGGCTTCTAGTTTTTGAATTAGGCTTTTTCAGTCGGATTTTTCCACTGATTCGTGTAGAGTGATTTTTTCCTTAACGGGATTGGATATTTTTTTTCGGTTTAGGTCGTGCGTTTTCGAGAAATAGTGTCGGAAGTGTCAGTGGCTCTCAGATTGTGCTGCGCAATTTACTTTTTTGGCTTCTAGTTTTTGAATTAGGCTTTTTCAATCAGATTTTTCCACTGATTCGTGTAGAGTGATTTTTTCCTTAACGGGATTGGATATTTTTTTTCTGGTTTCGAGCATGTGTTTTCGATAAATAGTGGCGTAGGTGTCCGTGGCTGTCAGATCGCTCTTTGCGGTTTACTAATTTCGCTTATATTTCCGAAATTAGGCTTTTGGATTTATTTTGCTCTATATAACAGTGTAGAGTGGAATTTCCTCTATCGGAATTAGCTATTTTTTTTTTTCGATTTCTTGCTTGCGTTTTTATGATATAGCGAGGAAGATGCAAGTGTTTCTGAAATTATGCTGCGCAATTTACTCTTTTTTGCTTATATTTCTGAATTTAGGCTTTTGGGTTATTTTATTTCGGTATAACAGCGTGGAGTAGGTTCAAGGCATTATTCCATTGAGATAAACAGACACGTACAACAGTAAAAAAATGTGGGATTCACGGATGGTTATTTGGATGACACTATATTTCATAGAATTATCGGATTCATAACACAAGGTGGTGATCCCACAGGTACAGGAGGAGGTGGTAAAATATATGGAGAACCATTTAAGATGAGACTATATTTAAAAATAAAAGGAATTCCTTTTTTACTCAAAAATAATTATTGGATCTATGTGCTATAGGACGAGTTTCGTACAAGAATACGTCCTTGTGGACGAGGTTTAATTGCTGTGGCTAATGCTGGAAAAGATGACAATACTTTCCAATTCCTCTTTATTCTTGGTTCTACATCAGAATTGCAGGGTAAACATGCAATCTTTGGTAAAGTTACTGGAGAAACTATATATAACATGCTTACACTTGAAAAAGCACCTGTAGATGAGGTAAATTTAATGTTTACAAGATAATATGTCAAGAATTAATATAAATATAATATATCTTCTTTTTTGTAGAATGATAGGCCACTTTATCCTCCAAAAATGAGAAAAACTGAAATATTGAACAATCCATTTTCTGATATTATACCAAGAATAGCAGTACTGGAAAGTGAAGAAATAATGAACAGTTCAAAAACTAAAACAACAGGACTAAAGTAAAAATCATATATGTTTGTAGAATTTAATTCTGATAATATTATTCTTTGCAATGAAAAATTTTGTTACAGAAATTTCAATCTTTTATCATTTGGTGGAGAAGCATAGGAAGGTGAAGAAGAATCTGCGATATTAAATAACAAGATTAGTGGCAAGAGCAAATCAGCTCATGATTATTTAACTGATCCAAAATTAAGCTCACAACTAGCTGTTGAACCACCTGGACCTCCAAATAAAGAAGGGAAAGAAGACCTTATTAGCGATTGAGAAAGTGACGACGAAGTAGAAACATAAGAAAAATTAGAAGTTATAAAAAAAGAGAAAGAGTTAGTTTATTGTTTACATTATAACTACGTTATAGAAAGTAGGACTTTTTATTTACTGTCTTATATTTATATTTTCTTGTACTTATATAATCTGTGATATCCATTGGATGATTCTTGTAGAGCTTACTTACCTGAATACAAATCTGTAAATGAAATTGCCATTAGTTTTTGATAATTTTGAGATTTTCTAAAACGCAAGATTTTTGACTGAAATGAAGTATTATGTAAAAAGTATGAATGTTTGGGGGTTCATTGTTGTCGTAGGTAATAGTTTATTAATAGTTTAATATTATCTTTAGGTAATAGTTTGCCGAGTTTACCGATGTCTATAATTATAATTATTTGTGCTTCTAAATAAGCAAATTGGTCATTGAAATTTAAATTTAAACCTCCAAGCTTACTCTCTACGGATGTTCTTGCATTTTTAAGAAAAGTTCTTTATCTGACACGAATTTGTTATACAGTAGTGTATTCTGTAAGCTTTTCCGAAGAAGAAATTTTGTTATTCGGTACAAATAACTTTGTAATATAAAATTGTTAAATGATTAACTGCCACTCAACTTTTAAGATGATGAATCTTGTAACATTTTTGCTTTTCGCGTAATATTTCATTTTTGCCAAAAATAGAGAGGAAATAAAGATATATTGACATACCATGGACATATCATGGAAATTCATCGTTTGGAAGTGCAAATGCTGTTATAATTTATAAAAAATGTATAAATTATGTATTATGAAATTTGTTAACAAATGGCATGAAGCATAAAAATACTTCACATAAATGCATCACAGAAATTTATACTCACCTCCACATGGTGAGACCGGGTAATTGGTATCATTTTCTAAAGATTTTTCTCTGCAAAACGATACTAAGCTAAGAGCTACGCACAAAGTTGAGAATATTTGCAATCTCTAGTAAAACTTCAATATTTCCCTTGAACATTTAAACATTTCTGAGGTTCCGAAAGTTATGTCCATAGAAATCTTGGAAATGTCGCCATTTCTTTGAATCGGTATGCGCTAGACCTCCTTTCATGTTATATATTCCTAATACAAAGTCGCAAAATCAGCCGAGATTTTCTCGCCACGGCTGCCAAAAGTTGTGCCCACGAAATTCACGAAAATGACGTTATGCAAATGTAAAAAAGTATAAATAGTCGAATTCATTATTAGTAAGAAATTAGTATCGTGAATAATAAATTATGCACAGCGTGAATTTATAACAAAAGTAGAAAATTACTAAATTATCGGTCATTACTTGAATATATAACGTACTAATGTTAAAATGTACCTACAATTTGTAAAAGGGATTATAAATTATTATACTTATTGCTACTAAGAAATTGCTCACTACGTAAATTTATAATATAAGTAAAATATTAGTAAATAATTGGTTAATACTAGTACATATAACTTATTTGTGTTAAAGTGTTTAAAATTAGAAGTGCATAATTTGCAGAAAGTTAATAAATAGCTACACTTGCTGTTAATAACAAATTAATATTGCTAGTAACAAATTCTCTGTAACGTATATTAAAGATAAAAATCAAAGATACTAAGAAATTACCGGTTATTACTTGATAAATATCAAACCAATGTTAAAATGTGCCTATAATTTGGAAAAGGTTTATAAATTAATACACTTATTGTTAATAACAAATTGTTTAAAACGTAAATTTACAATACAAGTGGAAAAATTACTAAATTATAGGCTATTACTAGTATATATAACGCATTTGCGTGAAAATGTATCTATAATTAGCAAAAAGTTAATAAATTACTACATTTATTGTTAATAACAAATATTTTGTAACGTATATTAACGATAAAAGTAAAAAAGTTAATAAATTATTGGCTACTACTTAAACAAACATCGTATTTGTGGTAAAATCTATTCGTAACTTACAAAAAGCTAATAAATTATTAAATTTATTGTAAATAGCAAATTAAAGTTGTTGATAACAAATAGTTTGTAATGTATATCAACGATAAAAGTCAAAAAAGTTAATAAATTATTAGCTCCTACTTAAATAAACAACGTATTTCTGTTAAAATGTATTCATAACTTACAAAAAGTTAATAAATTAATAAATTTATTGTTAATAACAAATTAAAATCGTTGGTAACAAATAGCTTGGAACGTATATTAACGATAAAAGTCAAAAAAGTGAATAAATTATTAGTTATTACAGCGAAAAAGTAACTTTAAAGGAATCGGTAAAGTACGGAAATTTTCGCCGATCTTCGGCCGGCCGCCGCTATATAAGGGGCCCGCGTGCAGGTTCGAGCCAGTTGTTGGTTCGACTTCGGAAGGTCCGCGTTAATATTCTTTCTTTTTGTTTCAGGTTTTAATTATCTTTCTTCTTTCAGATTCTATTTCTTTTATCCCAGATTTCATTGTTTATGCATTCAAGTGTTTTGTACAATATGCGAATGCTTCGTCGTTGGTTTATTTGTATATCATCGTTGGTTAGATCAATGGCTATTCAGTGGCCATTGTCCACTCTCTTAAATAATTTAACAATAATTTCTTCTTTCAGGTACTAATTATTTTTCGTTTCAGATTTTAATTATCTTTCTTCTTCCAGATTTTATTTCTTTAATTCTATTTGTCTTTGTTTCAGCATTCGAGTATTTCGTATAATATTCGAATGCTTCGTCGTTGGTTTACTTATGTCTCATCGTTGGCTAAATCTTTCCTTTCACAAATTTTACGACTTCCGTTCGATTTGTTTTCGTTAGAGCGTTCGAGTATTTCGTATAATACTCGAGCGCTTCCTCGTTGGTATGTTTATATCTCACCGTTGGAATGTTTCTGTCTCGTAGTTATGTTGCTCAGGTCTCGTCGTTGGCTTGCTCGTTCCATTTGGTTATTATCCTTGATGGTTTCCTCGTACTAATCCCTTTCCTTTCAGCTACATATTAACAATAATATATTCTGTTTTAGCTTTTAGGTTTCTCAAGATTCTGTTTGCGACACATCAATGAACGATGCGTGCGTTTACTTTTAAGTAATCATAAGATAGATCCATAGACTAAGTATCATGTGCGCGCTGTCTGTACAAAGGTAAGCTACCTAATTTGGAGCGAAATTTATAAATTCTCTATCATTTTCTTATCCCCCTCGTTTAGCAAATAGAACATAATTGTTCTCGCGATAATCGCGATCGTTCGTAAGTACCGACTAGCCTACGCGACGTGCTCTCGTGTACTCGATAAGTACATGCTTCGTAAGTCATCCTCACGACTCGTCTCCGACACTCATTTCCAGTCACTGTCAATCTCGTCATGCATCGGGTTCCAGGGTGACCCCCTCGGATCAGTGCGTCTTCTGACCTCGACGGGGCGGTCCGCTGCCTAAGTCGTACGCGACTGGGGCTCGGGCACATGCTGGCTGACGGACTAGTACCATCTACGGTTAGACCACAGGGATGATTAAGTTCTACCCCGTGTGGCTGGGATGCGAAGTGTCTGTCTTGGCCGGCAACCGCCCAGCAGGGCCCTCGCGTTGACACTAGAAGTTTCATTGGTTCAGGGACTATCCTTGGTCCACGTGTAAGTCTTGGCGAGTGCGACAGTGACTGGAATTGAGCTAGGCCCGATCGGGAGGGTGCCGAGGTATGAAGTTATCTCTGTACACGGGAGTACATCGCCTAGGCTAGTCGGTCTTTCGAATAATCGCGAACTCGTTCGGGCGCGTCGCGATTTACTATGTGCTCGCGTGTTTGATATTTCATTCCCTATTTTTACGGGAACTTGAAAATATCTTAGCGTTGCGACAGTAGAGTTTCAGTATACCGAATAGAAGTTCCCTTTGTAAGACACGAAATATAATAAAGTGTCAGTAGAGTCGCTTTAACTTCTTTCGCTCCAAGTTAGATTAGATATCTTTGACAACAGATAGCGCCAGTAGGATGCGCCACTAGGGCGCATGTCGGGTCTCGATGCGTAGCCACCTCCACGTGGTGAGACCTGGTAATTGGTATCGTTTTCCAAAGAAAAGTCTTTGTCAATCGATACCAAGCTAAGAGCTACGCATCAAAATTGACACATTAGTCACAAACTAGCTATAAGGTAGTTATAAGTTAGTTATAAATTAATTATAAATTTGTTACAATTTAGTCATTAATTAAAAATAAGGTAGTCATAAGTTTAAGATAGTGATTAGTATCTCTGGTAGTAACATATAAATTATGAGGAATTAAGGTAAGTGAGGTAAGGTAAGGTAAGGTAAGTAAAGGTAGTAATCATTAGTCACAAGCTAGATATAAGATAGTTATAATTTAATTATATGTTAGTTATAATTTAGTCATTAATTAAAAATAAGTTAGTAATAAATTTAAGATACTGAATATTTTCTCCGACAGTAACGTGTAAATTACGATGAATTGAGGTAAGTAAGGTAAGTAAGGTAAGTAAGGTAAGTAAAGTAACAAAAATAATTAAAATCTCCTGCAATGAATT